GCCGTGTTATTAACAGTTAAGGTGCATGAAACACAGACCGGGGGGTTTACACCGTGGTATATACAACGTAGGTGCCTGAAACACAGAGCGGGGGTTTACACCGTGGTTATTACACGAGGTGCTGAAACACAGACGGGGGTTTACACCGTGGATTTTACACGTAAGGTGCTTTGAAATACAAGAGCGGGGTTTGGTTATTAGCGACGTTAGGTGCTTGAAACACAGTAGGCGGGGGGTTACACCGTGGTTATTACACTAGGTGCCTGAAAACACAGAGCGGGGGTTTACACCGTGGTTATTTACACGTGGTGCCTGAAAACACAGAGCGGTGGTTTACACGCGTGGTTATTAGCACGTAGGTGCCTGAAACATCAGAGCGGGGGTTTAACACCAGTCGGTTATAACACGTAGGTGCTTGAAATACCACGAGCGGGGTCTGGTTATTACACGTAGGTGCTTGAAACATCAGAGCGGGGGGTTACACAGTGGGTTATTACACGTAAGGTGGCCTGAAACACAGAGCGGCGGGTTTTACAGACCGTGGTTATTGACACAGTAGGTGGCTTGAAATACAGATGCGGTGGGGTTACACCGGTGGTTATTATACACGTAGGTGCCTGAAACACAGAGCGGGGGTTTACACCGTGGTTATTACACGTAGGTGCTTGAAATACAGAGCGGGGGTTTGGTTATTACACGTAGGTGCTTGAAACACAGAGCGGGGGGTTACACCGTGGTTATTACACGTAGGTGCCTGAAACACAGAGCGGAGGTTTACACCGTGGTATTACACGTAGTGCCTGAAAATAGAGCCTGAAATACAGGAGAGTTTGTTGTTCGAAATACAGTGACTTGTGTTTAAAATATACAGTGAGTTTGTGTTTAAAAATATACAGTGAGTTTGTGTTTGAAAGTACAGAGAGTTGTTTAAAATACAGTGAGTTGTGTTCTAAATAACAGTAGAGGTTGCTGGTTTTGAAATACAAGGAGTTACCATAATTCCGCCGGCGTCCCGTGGACCCAGACGGAATTCAACCATGTGTGACACATACGTCCCTGATATACAAGGAGTTACCATAATTCCCGTAAACTTCCGTGACACAGACATGCAGTACAACATGGTACACCGCATTGTCTTTAAAGCAGCACGGTATCACACAAGTAAACGCAACGAAAAGGGTCGATTGTCGGGTATCCACAGGTACTTACATATAGTGTACAACGAGGTTAGTTTAGGTTGTTTGCGTATTATGTCTATATTTTTATATTACGGTATGTTTAGGTTAGGGTTAGGGTCACTTTCGTAGTACAAGTCTGGTATACTTTGCGTAATACATATATGTACCTCGGTACATATATGTAGTTAGGCCTACCTGATACGACAACGACCCTTCAGCGCAAGTAACAATTATTGTTGTACATTCGGTCCTAAAATAGCTATGTATACACGTGTGATACATTCCTGGTAATGAATAATGGGTGATGCTTAATTAACGCGAGCATTTCGTTATCTATAGCTAGACCTGGAATCTGGATGCTCGATCTCGATCTGGATAGTTTACTGCGTAGCTCCCACAGGTTAGCACCTACTAAATATAAACCAATTTGAATATGTAATTATTCCTATACGTTATAATGTTGCATGCGGCTTGCGTTGTGTGCTTGTCTCATATTAAATGTTAAAGTTAAATCCTTCACCCGCGCCTATATGGCGCATAGGCGGTGCCTATTTCGCGTTTCAGTAACCCTGACGCCCCGCAGGCTTGCTTTCACAGTATAATGCTGCAGTAAAAAAGGGTTAATCCGCTGTTTCATATAGACACATACTGTGGCTCATTTGGGCATCATACAGCTAATCGTGTTCTGGTAATTTTCGCTCATCATAACTGTAGCTACAGAGCTACAATGATGTGCTTGGCGTTTCCACTGGTCGGTACATATCTACGTAAACACAGCGCGGACCACGCGCCACACACCGACCGGACCATGTCACACGACACCAACGGACCAGCACACACACCACGGGTCAGCCCACACACCAAAGCACCAGCCCACACACACACGGACGCAGCAGCGCACACTACCACGGACCCAGCCACAACGCAGCGGACGCAGGCCCACATACCACGGACCAGCGCACACACCACGGACGCAGCCCAAGCACGACGGACGCAGCCACCACACACCACGGACCATGCACACACACCACGGACCAGCCCACACACGGACGGACCAGCCACACAACACCGAACGGACCAGCACAACACAGCCACGGGTCAGCCCACACACCAACACCAGCCCACCACCACGACCAGCACCACACACCAAACGGACCAGCGCACCCACACGGACCAGCCCCTCACACCCACGGACGCAGCCCACATACCAGCGGACCACAGCGTACACACCGCAACACGGACGCAGCGCACACAACCACGGACAGCCCACACACGCTCCGACCAGCGCAACAAGGCACCACGGACCAGCCCACACTACGACGACCAGCGGCACACACTACACGACCAGCGACAGCACACCACGGAACAGCAGCTACACACACCACGGACCCTAGCTGCAAACACACCACGTGGACTCAGCCACACACACGGACCAGCACAACAACCACGGACCAGCGCCCACCACGGACCGCGCGGCACCCATCCACGGCGCAGCGCACACACCACGGACCAGCGCGCACGAAAACACGCACGGACGGCAGCGCACACACCACGACCAGCGCGCGCACATATCACACAACGGGACCAGCGTCACACACGCACGGTACCACGCGACACAACGACTACATCTGCTACGGACCAGTCGGTGAGCGCACACACACACACCGACGGACCAGCGAGTCACAGCACCAAGGATCAGCTAATACACACTATCAGACTAGCGCTATCTTTACACCAACGGATCAGCATACATGCATGGGTCCAGACAGCTCTCTCACAAAGATTCCATTTAAACTCTAACAAACCAACAAAGATTGCATTTAACTGGCTGTTTGGCTGCTACGACTACTACTGCCTGGGCTGCTACTAGCTGGCTGGGCTACTGCTGTTGTTGTTGTTGTTGTTGGTTGGGTTGTTGCTGCTGCTGCTACTGCTGTTGCTGGCTGCTGCTACTGCTGTTGTTTGTTGCTGCTACTGCTGCGCTGCGCTATTGTTCATTGGCCACTGCCAATACCTGATACTGCGATTCGACTGCTGCTGCTGATACTTGCGCTCTTGCTGCTGCTGCTGCTGGCTGCTGCCTGCTGCTGCTGCTGCTGTACTGCTTAATGCTACTGATACGGCTCTGCTTCTAGCTTGCTGACTGCTAATGCTAGCTGATACTGCTGCTGCTCTTGCTGCTTCTTCTGCTGCCGCCGGCTGGCCTACGCTGT